AGGGAAGGGAAGGGAAGGGAAGGGAAGGGAAGGGAAGGGAGTCTCGGCCTGGCGGGGCCATTCCGCAGCGAAAGGGCCAGACAGCAATGCCGGTGTTGCTGGGTGGGAGAGGGGCCGGCCCTTCGCAGCCCTGCAGTGTCACCGAGCCTGCAAACAGGCTGCCACAGGGGATCCCGGTGCACAGCCTGGCTGTGGAGGCTCCACAGGGACGGAGGGTTGGGAGTTCGTGGGATACACACGGTCGTCCAGCTTCTTACCTGACCTTAGAGCAGCTGAACGTATGGGGGCTGTGGATAGACTTATCACATGTGCAGCCCTAAAGATTTGACTTTTTTTTATGTTCTTGCCTTCCAGGAGCAGTGGTACTCAGGCCAGTTGCATTTCTTCTGGAAAAACATGCAAGAATTACTCCTGCATGGTGTGCGCAGGGTGTCTGTCCCCGCCGCATTCTTCTGCCCTGCATGGGCCGGGCCCCGGGCCCGCCCGCCCGTGGAACCACGTCCCGCAGGCTGGCTCAGCACGGATTGTGTGGGTAGAGAGGGGCCTTAGGGACAATATTCCAGGTGCTCCTCACAGCCGAATTTGGTGCTGCTGGGGCCACTCTGGGCACTGCTGGAAGCCCTGGGTGGCGTGGGGATCTTCACCGGTGCCAGTGGGGCTGAGCCCTGCCCAGGTGCCCTGTGTGGAGCCGTTCCTCCCTCCCCTGCTGTGCACATCCCACTGGCACAGCGTGAGCCTCGACGTTCCTTTTTCCCAGTAACAAACTCCTGGCCTGAGGTCCTGCATTTCTTGTTGTCTCACAGTTCTGCAGACGTGATGTGCTGAGCATCTCCAGAGCCTGCCTGCAGCTCCAAATGCTCCAGCAGGAGCTGCTTTGCTGCCAGCAGGACCTGGAGCCCATGGGTGCAGGCTGACCCTGCGTGGGCTGTGTGGGGTCAGCACAGAGGGAAGAGGCTGAGGAGTCCCAGAGCTCTGATCGCTTCCAGCTGGGGCCATGTCATTTAAATACAGATTATGCGAGATACTTATGGATTTATGGAGAAGTGTCTTGTCCTGCTCCTGCAAGGCCATCAGGCCCTGATCACCTCTAGCCCCTTGGGCATTTGCCAGGAGCCAGAGGCTGGTCCAAGCCAAGGAAGCCTTGTAGCATGGCCAGGAAGGGGACATACAGTGTGGGGTCATCACTGTGTCTTTGGCAGCTCCTTTGCCTCTGACCCCCACAGCAGGGCCAGGCCAGATGTGTCCTGGCTCCAGCCTTGCTCTCTGGACACTCCTCCAGTGCTTGGGTAGAGTGGAAACAGTGTCCCTGTCCCCACTTCACAGGGATGGAAATACCTGCATGGTGATGAAGACACCTGGGTCGAGGAATTGAACTGAAATTCACACTCTTTTAAAAAATGGCTTGTTTTACGCCATTTCCTTTGCCTGATGCTGAGCAAGAGAGAAGCAAATTAAATTCGGGCTTGAAAGAGCTGGAGGAAGGCAGGAGAGGTGCCAGAGGGCACAAACAGGCCCTGGTAAGGGATGTGTGTTGGCAGACACATGGAAGCAGGGGAGAAGGATAACATGGGCAGCCCTGGGCACAGACAGGGAAGGCAGGAAGGGCTGGATGGGGCTCAAGGGACAGCAGAGGTGGCCCAGCTGTAGGGACTGCAAAGCTGGAGGAACTGCCATGTGCCTGCAGCCCCTCTTCAGCAGCTCCCCTCGCAGAGGCCTGGTTGGACACTTGCCCAGTGGTGAGAAAGCAGGGCTCAGTGAGGGACAGCAGCTCCCCCAGAGGGGCTGCAGGTGGGTCCTGCTCCTGCTGGGCTCCTGGGAGCACCTGGGCCCTGCTGAGGCTGGGTTTCTGTAGCACAGAAAACTCTGGCACCAGCCACGGGGTGGCAGCTCAGGCTGGCTGACTCCTGACTGTTTTTTTGTTTGTTTGTTTTGTTTTGGTTTGGTTTTTTAATCTTTCCTTATATTTTTTATTAAAAAGACAAACCTTCTGGGGCCTCCCTGTCCAGCTCATGGGCATGGCAAAGGTTCTGTGCTTTCCCTGGCTTGTCTCCACCCTGGCATAATATCCAGCAGCATTTCCAACTCTACTCCTGCATTCTTCTGGCTTCTGAGCCCAGAGCCTGTCCTTCGGAGGGGCTGCAGGCAGGACACCTGCTTCCAGCCTCTGTGGCCCCCGAGAGTGGGCAATGCCCCTGAAGATTTCATCCAAGCAGATGTCAGTCAGGCTCTTGGCAGAGCAGGTCACTGGTCTTCTGAGCCAGTGGGAACAAACTCCATGCCTTGGGCAGGGTCAGGCCAGCCTGCCAGAGGGGACAGCCACTGCTTTTATATCAGGGTTGAAACAGGTATTTTTTGCTTTTTAGCTGTTGTTTGCAGTGATGCCCTGCAGGCGAATGGCAGCTGGAGATTAATTTGTGTCACTGTTCATTTCTGTTCTTCATCTGCGCTGCTGCAAGTGCAGTGTGCTCCGTGCTGTCCCCTCTGATCAGGGTCTGGTCCTCAGCCTCAATTTATCACATCTTCATGGACAGTGATGGAGCTCCTGGGAATGCTGGAGCTGGGCAGTCCTGCTCTGGCTGCCCGCTCAGGGTTGTGTCCCCAGAAGAGCACTCCCTCTCAGAAGTACACCTAGTATCTCTCTCTTCCACCTTCCTGCTCCTCTGCAGGCTGAATTCTGCCCCTGGTGTTGTGGGACCCCACAAAACAGAGATAAACTTCCTCTAGGATAATGTCTGGAGGGGCATCACCCTCCGAGGAGGGATCCCACAGGACCAGGAGCTTCTCTCGGTGCCTGCAGCACTGTGATGAGGCTCAGGGTTGCTGATGGGAATGAAATGTGAGCTAGAGCTGCTGCCCTGGAGAGGTGTCCCAGGATCAGTGTGAGTCCTGCCTTGAGTGGAGGAGCTCCCCATCCCTGTTTCTCCAGGCTCTGTATTCCTTCTTGGGAATGGGGCATTTCCCCAGCTGTTTTGTGCTCCAGGCCACTTTTTAGAGAGCTTTTGAGGGGCTGCTTGACCCTTCTGGCCGCTGTTCCCTTTGCGTGGCCGCCCACGGTGCGGGCTGTGGACCCTGTCCGGCCTCTGCATAGACCCCCAGGGATCTCTGGTCCGGCAGCAGCCCCACCAGCAAGGGCCTGCCCCGCCACCGCCAGAGCAGCTCCAGGGGGCTCAGGGCGAGCCGCGGCCCGTGTGCCCCCGGCAGTGCCACCCGCAGGGCGTGCCCCGGCCGGGTCACCTGGCGGGGGTCCGCAGTGCCCGGTGCCGCCCGGCGCTGCGCGTCCCCCCGCGGGATGGGGCACGCGTGGGCCGCCGCTTTCGTCTATATAAGGGCGTCCCGCCGCCCCGGCCCCGCGGCCCCGGCCCCGCCGCATTCTTCTGCCTTGTATGGGCCGGGCCGGGCCGGGCCGGGACCCTGGGCCCGCCCGCCCCGCGGAGCCGCGTCCCGCAGAGCCGCGCCGGCCCCGCAGCTCCCGCACGGCCCGCAGCTCCGGCAGCTCCCGCGGCTCCCCGCTCCGGGACAGGTGAGGCGGCGGCGCCGGGACCGCCCCGGGACGGGAACGAGCGGCCCCGGGACGGGAACGAGCGGCCGCGGCGGGGAGAGAGGGGCGGGATGGAGCGGGAGGGATGGAGCCGAGCGGAGCGGGGGAGCAGCCCCGGCCGTCCCGGGAGAGCAGGGGGAGCTAGCCCGGCTGCCTCGGGGAGAGAGGGAGGCAGCCCCGCCGCTCCTCCAGCTCTGTAGTGCTGGAGCTGGTGCTGAGGTCAGCCCTGGGGACGGGTCGGGGTGGCAGGAGGATCCTCCGTGTGCCCTGCTGGGCATCCTGTACCCGGGCAGCCTCTTGCCAGGCTCAGCAGAAATGTCCCGGCAAGGGCAGGTGGGGATGGATCCTGAGCCAAGCTGAGGGTAACTGTCTGCAGCGCCTTGGAGCTGGGACATCTTGGCTTTCCCAGGATGGCAGAGCTGCAGGAGCAGATCCTGTTGGCACTGACTTCACCCACCTCCTGATCTCTGAGACTGTTCCAGCCTGGAACATCTGCTTTTCCTCCAAGTCCTTTTGCTGATGACCAGAGCCAAGATCCGGATGCATGCGTGATGCTCCAGATATCTCCCCAGTGTCCTGGGGGCAACTTCAGGCAATAACCTTCTTCAAAGCAGAAAAGCTTTATTTAGCTCATTTCCTTCAGCCTTAAGCACAGAGGGATGTTGTGTTTGGTTTAGTCTTTCCCATGAAAATTTGAAGTCCTCTTGGCTTCCCTCCCAGCATGCCCTTTTGGTACAAAATGTTTCGACTGTGATAAAAGCCAGGCAAGCTCTAAAACATGGATGTGTAAGAGAAGGCGGCCGGAACTGAATTTTTTGGAGTGGAACATCCCCGAATGTTAACAACCACCGCTGCTGACCAAAGATGGTTGGGTTCCTTCAGTCGCTGGAATTTTCTTCCTCTCTCCCTGGCAGGCTCTGTGCGGTTGTAGGAGGAGTTTGCGGTCACCTCCCCCCTCCGAGGCGCTGCGGCCACATTCCCCTGCCGAGGTGAGCCCCTTAATTCCCCTGGGAAAATAGCGAACTCCGGCCGGGACGCGTTGTGCCGACTGCCCGAGGCCATGAAGACCTTGTGCCTGTGTCCATTGCCCGGCCTCCCCGGGCATCGGAAGGGGCTGGGTGCTTTGCACACCGAGGGGAGGCTGCGGAACTTTGGAAGGGTTTGCGTGTGTCACATGGTGAGCTCCTTGTCTCCTAAACTTGGTGGGAAGCAACTAGTCCAGAAACCATCCGCTGAACTTGCGGCTGAGCCCCACAGCTGTGCGTGGACCTGGCGAGGTCCCCAGTGTCCGGTGGAAGCTGGGGGAGGGCTGGGATGAGCTCAGCCTCCCTGGGGGTCGCTGCACACTTTGCTCTGACTCTGATGCTGCCCTGGTCCTTCCTCCCTGGCATCAGTGCCGGTGGCTGCGGCTGGACTGGAGACACAGGGCTCAGGGTCTGCTTTCCTCTCACCTCCAGGCTAGGCTCCCTTTCCCAGATCTCTAATAAGGGCCATAAAAGGAGTAGAATGGCAGCTGCCTGCATTCCTGCGGCGTCGAGTGGGCTGAGGATTCTTCCCGCAGCTCCTGGTGCCTCTGGCTGACAGTGGGGCTCCCATGGCACCAGAAATCCTCCTTGGTGAAGCTGAGCAATGCCACATCCCACAGGCATCCTGAGCAGGGCTGTGCTGGAGGAAAGGGATGGTTTAACAATGAAAGAAGCAGGGGAGATGAGCTGCTCCCTTGCTTCCCCCCAGTATGGCAATTGGTGAGCAGCCCTGGGGCTGTGAGGGGTGCCTGTGGCTGGCAAAGGTTTGTGCCAGGGGCGTGCACAAGGCACCACCTCACCCCACCGGCCCTTGTGCCACCCTGGAGCAGGGGTGGGACCTGCTGCCTGTGTGGGGATGCAGGTGGCCACACGTGGTGGGGGGCCAGTGCTGTCCACCAGTGAATGTGGCTGCCTCGTGGCTTGCTGGTACTCACAACTCTCTTTGGGAAGTGGCACTGGGCAGACGTTTGAGCACAGTCCCCCCTGAAGAGCCAATGTTTGCCCTGCAGGACCATCCCTTGGGACAGTCCAGGCTGCTGGAATCACCCTGCCTCCCTGACACAAAGCATCCAGTGGAGGCACGTCCTGCCTCTTGCTGCCAGGATCCTGTGGAGGAGCTGCTGGAGCAGATGTCCCTGCCCAGCTGGGCCAGGGACAGCAGGACAGTGCCTCTGCAGCCTCCTCAGCATTTCCAGAGGTGGCTCCTGCTGGAGCAGCTTCTGAGGAGCCAGCCCTGGGAAACTCTTAGCAGCATATCCTGGGAGATCATAGCTTCTGATCCATGTGAACACCCCAGGGACTGGGGACAGGCTGCTGCCACCTCTGCTGGAGGAGCTGCCCTGTCCCCTGCCTGCCACTCCTCCTTCGTGCCACCCAGCCTGTCACAGCACCCTCAGCCCAGCGGTCAGCTCCTGCCGGGACTGTGAGCTGGAGCAGCTCAGGGGAGCTGCAGGGGAGGGTGGAAGCAGGCAGGAGGGGAAGGATGGGGCTGGGACGGGCTGCCTGCCCTGGCAGCATTGCCATGTCCCTTTGGCTTGTCCCACCCTCCCCAGCACAGCCAGGAAGCAGCACCAGGATGGAGCTGCTTGCTTGGTTTTTACCAAGGAGGAAACACATGGCAGTTTATATTACTGATAAGTGGGAGTCTTTTCCTCTTTCAAACGAAACTATTTACTAATTTATGAACTCTTTAGGTCAGCCCCACGGTCCCTTGGGTCTGGCTCAGGTGGGGAGGCACAAGCCTAGCAGATCATTTAGCCTTCACTGCAGAAGGCTGGGAAATTGTTTTGGCAGGACAGTGGCAGAGGGGCAAGGAAACAGGGGCAGCTGGTGACAGGGGGAGTTGGGGACCAGATCAGTGTGTGGCTGTCATGGTGTCACCCAGCACTGACCTCCTTGGCTCTGCTGCCCAGATTCCACAGTTCCTGGGCTGGAGCAGTGTTGGGATGGTGCTTTCAGCAGGGGGTGCCAGGAGCAGGACCTGTGTCCGTGTGTTTCCCTCTTGCTGAGGGGAAGCTGGAGCTTTGGTGGCTGTACCATTTGTTTGAGCTGAGTCCAGCCCAGCTTGCAGGGCATCATGGCCAGGCACTCCCTGCAATGCTTCTGGAACTGGGTTTTTGGGAGTACTAGAAAGCATGGCTACCAGGGGAGTGTGGCCATCAAGCCCTTGTGCAGAGCAGGGACTGCTCCAGCTGAATCAGGTTTTGCTGCAGATCCCTGCACAGAATCCATGCACAGGAACCTTTCCCCACACTGACCCAAAGATCTCTTCCCAAGTCCCAGCCAGCCCAAGGCGGCTGTCAAACAGCAGAGATAGAATGACTGACCCGGACCTTGGGACTGAGCATTTTTCCAGGGCACATTTTGGATCAAACTGCAGATCCATGTGCTGTCAAAATTGTACTTAATCCTGCTGAAGAGCATTGTCTGTGGAGATGGTGCCAAGCTGTGCTGCTGCTGATCACAGTCAGGGCAGGGTAAATATTTGGATAATATTAATTAATGTGGTGAGAGGAAAACTCCTGCTTATTTCTATAGTCTTCTAATAATTCTGCTAATAATTTGATGTCTTTTGAAAGCCAGCCCAGTGCCATGGGCCAGCAGCAGAGCTTTTATTTCTGGCTCTGACTCAGCCTGGTGGTGTTGTGGTGTTGAACTGAGCTTCCCACACTGCTGCCGTGGGATGTCACTGGCCCGCTCCATCTGGGGGGGTCACTGGTGCCATCTGGGGGGGTCACTGGTGCCATCTGGGGGGGTCACTGGTGCTCGGTGCTGCCTGGCAGGGCATGCAGACAGGGGCTGGCCTGCTGCAAAGAGCTCTGTGGGGCTGGAGGAAGCAGCAGGCAGAGAGGGACTGCGGGATGAGGTCTTCTGCTCAGTGTGAGCTGGGCTCTGCAGCCCTGCTGCTCCCCTTGGCTGGCTAGGGACAAACATCTCTTTCCTGGTGGGCACTGGTAAGGAGGGAGAGTTCAGGGGATGTGAGGTGGTTTGGTGGCTGCTGTCAGGTGGTGAAGTCAGCACAAGAGAGGGGGCTGAGGGAGCTGTGGATTCCATCCTGGAATAGGGGGCATGTGGGTGATGAGGGAGGACTCCTGGGGACATGGGGCATGTTCCCTGCAGATGAAGGGTCCTGCCTGGGCTCTGTGGGTGCTCCCACAGTGGGATGGGAGCCTTGTCAGGATGTGGGAAGAGTGCCCAGCTCCCTCTGAGCTTGGCTGGTCACTATGGTGTGTTGGGCTGTGATTTGACACTGTCTGATGCCCTTGGAATGTCCTTCCAGCACAGCCCAGCTGCGGGACCTGGAGAGCACAGCAGGCTGAGGACCAGGCTGGTGGTGCCCTGCTCCTGCCCCAGCCCCTACCTCTGCTACCCCTTGAGAGCGAGATAGCAGGAGAGGAAGGAGAGACCTGGAGAGGGGGTTTGTGGAGAGGGCAGGGGAAGGCTGTCTGAAGGTTGTCTGCTCTGCTCTGGTCCATGCCAGCACCAGGGGATGTTTCCCAGGTCTCCGTGGTCCCCCTGGGGTGAGCACTAAAGACCCAGCTGGGAAGCAGATCCCAGAGCAGCCCACGCAGGGTGTGCAGCCCAGCAGGGACTGTCCTGCTGCAGCTCACTGGGGTGTGTCTCCATGAGAGAGAATGTGGCTCCTGAATTACTCCATCCAGGGCACTGATGAAGAGCCCAGGTCCTACTGCCCACACGGAGCACAGGGCTGATTCTCTGCTCTTCCACCCTGGAGTCCCTTCATGATCCATTCATTTGCTATTGTCCCAGCAGCTGCTGCCCAAGCCAGACACTGGCCGGGAGGAGAGCCAGGGCTGTGTGTGAGGGAGGAATGGCTGTGGCACAGTGTCCCTTCCCTGGGCTGGCCTCGGGCCAGCCTATCCCACAGGACCATCCCACAGCCAGGAGTCCCCTGGGAGAAACCTGAGCATCCTCCTCTCAGGCAGTGTCAGGGAGGAGGGTGTTCCAAACCCTGAGTGCATCCCTCAGTCTGGCAGCCCCCTGCTGGGAGCCTGAGGGGGACTGGATGCCATCCTGAGGTGGGAGTGGGCTCTCTGCTCCTGTTCCTGCTGGGGGCCCCAGTTCCAGCTGGGCACAGCACCCCCCACCTTGGAAGGACCAGATTTTCCTGCTGTTATCCTGCCCCAGTGGTGCTTGGGGTCTGCATGGTCTCTGTGCCATTCCTCATGGGACACACACTACCCCAGCCATGTCCCCAGAGGTGGGTCTGTCCCACTGCTGCTCCCCCTTCTCCTGGCATTCATTACCTGTAACAGCAGCACCATCCTCAGTGCCCTGCAGCCCCGGGGCTCTTGGCTCCTCTCCTGGCTCTGCAGCCTTCCAAGGCCGATGGTCTCCTCTCCCCTCTGCCTCTTCCCATGGGCTCCCTGGGCAGGGCTGGGGGTCACCGGGGTAGCAGCAAGAAGTCTTTGACCCCCCAGGCATGGGTGGATGGATGATGGATGGATGGATGGATGGATGGATGGGTGGGTGGATGGATGGATGGATGGATGGATGGATGATGGATGGATGGGTGGATGGATGGTGGATGGATGGATGGATGGTGGATAGATGATGGATGGATGGATGATGGATGGATGGATGGATGGATGGATGGATGCATGGATGCATGGATGGATGGATGGATGGATGGATGATGGACAGATGGATGGATGGTGGATAGATGATGGATGGATGGGATGGATGGATGGTGGATGGATGGATGGATGGATGGATGGATGGATGGATGGATGATGGACAGATGGATGGATGGATGGTGGATAGATGATGGATGGATGGATGGGATGGATGGATGGATGGTGGATGGATGATGGATGGATGGATGGATGCATGGATGCATGGATGCATGGATGGATGGTGGATAGATGATGGATGGATGGGATGGATGGATGATGGATGGTGGATAGATGATGGATGGATGGATGGGATGGATGGATGGATGGATGGTGGATGGATGATGGATGGATGGATGGGATGGATGGGATGGATGGGATGGATGGATGATGGATGGATGAAGGATGGATAGATGGATGGATGAGGGGTGGGTGGAGATGGATGGGTGTACATGGGAAGCAGTGGTGTCTGAGGAATGTGCCTGGAGCAGATAACCCCTTTGTGCTCATTGCTGGGGCTGCTTCTGTGCTGTGACAAAGAGAGTGCGAGGGGACCCCCCCAAGCTGGCAGCTGGGCTGGGCCTGGAGAGCCTGTTGGAGTGGGGGGAGGTGGAGAGGCATGGCCACGGTGACTGAAGTGCCAAAACCTCCATCCCCATGGCTCCGGGACTGGCACCCAGCTGGGTGCTGGGCCAGGTGTCTCTCCCTGTGCCTGGATATGCAGAGAGGACAGGCAGCGAGTGGGTTTGAGGGCTGCCTGCAGCCCTAGGGGATGGTCCTGGGGAACTGCAGTGAGCACTGCCTGCTCTTTGACTGCCCATGGAACTCATCAGAGCTCAAGTCCTGCCCATCCCCATGGCTGACCCTGTGTCTGTCTCATCTCCCTGTGTTGCTCAAGTATGTGACAGCTGGGGAAGTTGAGGCACAGGACTGAAAGTGCCGGGGTGGTGTGTCCCTGTGTATCCCTGCTCTGGCCCTCTGGCTCAGCCTGTCCCCAGCCCTCCTGATGCTCCTGCCCCCAGGTACTCCCCCAGCCACCAAGATGTCCAGCAAACGTGCCAAAGCCAAGACCACCAAGAAGCGCCCCCAGCGTGCCACCTCCAATGTCTTCGCCATGTTTGACCAGTCGCAGATCCAGGAGTTCAAGGAGGCTTTCAACATGATCGACCAGAACCGAGATGGCTTCATTGACAAGGAGGATCTGCACGACATGCTGGCTTCCCTTGGTGAGGACACCCTGCACCTGTGCTCCCACAGGTCCCTCTGCCCCTGGCACCACCTCGTGAGCAGGGAGAGCTGCAGGGTGACCTCACCCAGCCCACACCCAGTGCTGGACACTGGCTGTGCTGGGATGCCTCAAAGCCTGGGATGGGATTTCTCTGCTCCAGCAGCTGACAGAAGGGGTGTTTGTGAGGCATCCAATGGCAGCACCTGTGCTGCTCACAGGTGCACTCACCAGAAGGGAAGAGACCCTCGGAGCTGGAGAAGCTCTGCCCTGGGAGCGCCAGGAGTGCAGCCATGGAGTGTTTGAGTAGACTCACCCCAGAATGTCACTGGGGCTGTCCCATGTGGAACAAAGCCCTCCTGTTGCTCTCAGCTGGGGTGAAAAAGGCAGGTCCCCGTGCTGGTGTGATACCTGGGCTGGTTGAGACTTGCAGGTCTGTTCCCACTCCCTGCTCTAAGCCATTCTCCTTTGCTGCAGACCATGGCTCCCTCCTCCCACTCCCAGTGGTATCTCCACTGCACTTTGGGAGATCTGTCAATGATTGACCTGGCAGCCAAACCTGTTCTGGAGGTCCTGCCTGACCACAGGAGGGATCTCCCTCCTCCCAGAGAGCCAGAGCTCTGGGAGCAGAGAGGGGCCAGCGCTGGGGGCACAGACCTCAGCAGAGCAGCTGAACCATCGCCAGTGCACCCATGGCGGGAGCAGTGCTGGGGACATAGAAACACGAGGCTTGTGTGAGGACATTGCTGCACCTCTCATCAGAGCTGTCAGGGGATGGGAAAAGCCATGGGTTTCATTCCAGTAACCCCCAAATCAATTACTGCACTTCCCCCAAGGCAGAGCTTGTTCCCAGGTGTAGATGAAAGCATCAGGAGAGGTGCTGAGGGGGGAGCACCGGGCACTGCAGAAACTCCTTTCCCATGTTCGTGGGGTGGGTGAACAAGAACCAGCAGATCAATTTGCAATGGATAAAAGTCATTCCAGCTGTTTGCACGGGCTGATCCCGGGGATGGGAGCTGGGGGAGCAGGGCCCTGCACCCACGCCCTGCCTGTGTCCCGCAGGGAAGAACCCCACTGACGAGTACCTGGAGGGGATGATGAGCGAGGCGCCGGGGCCCATCAACTTCACCATGTTCCTCACTATGTTCGGGGAGAAGCTGAACGGCACCGACCCCGAGGACGTGATCCGCAACGCCTTCGCCTGCTTCGACGAGGAGGCCTCAGGTGCAGCGCCGCCCCTCTGCCGCAGCCAGCACAGGGGCTGGGCCGCCCTCGGGAACAGTCCCCAGGCAGCTCCAGAGCGCGGTGTCTTCGGGAGAGGTGGGGAAGCTGCTGTGCTCAGCCCTCCTGGTGCCCCCTGCTAATGCTGTGCCCTGCCCTCCTTGCAGGCTTCATCCACGAGGACCACCTGCGCGAGCTGCTGACCACCATGGGGGACAGGTTCACCGACGAGGAGGTGGATGAGATGTACCGGGAGGCGCCCATTGACAAAAAGGGCAACTTCAACTACGTGGAGTTCACCCGCATCCTGAAGCATGGGGCCAAGGACAAGGACGATTAGAGCCTGCAGCCACTCGCCCCTTCTGCCCCGTCCCCTGCACACCACCTGCCCCTTGGCCACCCTTGTTGCCCCACAGCAGACTCCTCCCACGGGAAACACCTCCCAGGACCATCACCCTGCATCAGGACACGCTTGGAAGGACACACTCCCATCACTGTTTCTGTGTGCCCATCCAGCCTTCCCTTCCCATCACCTCTCCCACCCACTGGCTGCCCCAGCCTTGCTGTGACCTCCCCCCAGCAGCCACTGACCCCCTCAGAGTCACCATGCCACTGATCCTGGGGCTGGGGTGAGCATCCCTGGCTGACCTGCAGGGATTTGGGCTGGGTCCAGCCTGAGAGAGCCCCATGCAGGCCCATAGCATAGCCCATAGAGGAAAAGCCTCTCTCCCTCTCTTCCCTCACTCCCCCTTCAGGAAAGAACCCCCATTTTGTTCCTCCTTCCTGGCTGTTTTATGGCTTTAGAGCCTGAGATCTGAGGGATTCAGGAAGCTGAAGGGGTGTATAAAGCCTGACGGGTGTGACAGATGTGTGCTGTGTGTGGCTGCCTCGTGACCCTGTGCCCCTTGTGCTGTGCCCAGGGCTTTGGGAAAGTTTGGGCACTGCAGCTCCTCACCTCGCTGCCCTTGTCAGCTGGGGCCCTTTCCAATGGGGCAGCCTGGTTTTGAAACCAAATTGCTCTCAAATGATGTAAAATCAGCTTGAGCATCATTTTCTGCCTTAGCTGGTGGGCTGAAGGTCGTTCGGCTCGGCCCCTGTGTCAAGATGGGCTGAGAGACACTTGGCAATGTGTCAGCTGTGCTCCCCACGTCAGCTGGTCCAGGGTCCCAGGGGCTTGGCTGTCCTTCTGTGTCACCCTGGATGGGTCGGTGGGGGCAAGAGGCAGAGAACATAAGAAATGGGGAGGAGGTTTGTCCCCTTGGTTTGGTTATTTGTCACCACCCTGACAAAGGTGTGGGAGCATGGGATGCTCCTACCTTGATGGCTTGTGAAGCTGTGGTCTTAAAATGCCGCTTGAAGCCTGCCCTGGAGGGAGGTATGAGTTTCCAGCAATTCTTTATTTAAAATGGGGGGACAAACCTACAAAACCTGGTGAGGGCATAGTGCATGGCAGATGCTACCTGTGCTGGGAAAGCTTGGCTAGGGTCTGAGGGAGCTCCATGGGCATATGCTGGGCTCAGGGGCATCAGAGTCTTGCCAGGCCCCAGGTGATGCTCTCTCACCTGGAAGGTGATCCATGAATGAAAAGCTTCTCCTTGGTCTCAGTGCTCCTATTTTGCAGGCACTACTAACACCAGGAAAAAGGAACTAAATTGTCAGATTTGAAAGGGTGACCCGGGATCTCCAGGGAGTTCCCCAGGGTCAGGGCTTGTGCTCTGCAGCAGCAGTCCCAAACCAGCCCACCTCCAGCCTCATGGGTACCAAGCTTCTTCCCTAATTCACTGCTGTGCTAGGGAAAACCTACAGTTCTCCCACAGCCAGAGAGAATTCCCTGGCCTGAAGGCTTCTGGAGGCCTGGATGCTTTATAAAACCTCCTTCACTGTGACACCCAGCAAAGTGAGCATCCGACAGACATCACTTTAGGGCAGAGGAGCTGATGTTGGAGCTGGGGACAGATCAGCTCCTGGAGCAGCTGCATCTAGGAGTGCTGCTCAGCCCCTCTGACCCCAAGGGATCATCCTGTGAGCAGCCCAGATTCTCACAGTGCCAGGAGTGGGAAGGACCCACTGCTGCTCTGAGCTGGGAGCTGCCACAGACTCCAGCCTGGGCCTGTCAGAGGTGCTCCCTCAAGCAGCTGCCAAAACTGCTTGGTCTGAGCTGCCTCATCACTGGCATGGCTCTGGTGGCACTGTGGGACTTTCAACCCTGAGGCAGCAAAGCAGAACAAATTTGTTATTGGACACTGGGGTATTTATGGGAAGAGTAAATAAACTTCACTGACACAGGTTTTCCAGAGCAGCTGTGGCTGCCCCACCCCTGGAAGTGTTCAAGGCCAGGTTAGACAGGACTTGGAGCACCCTGGGATAGGGGAAGGTGTCCCTGCCCATGGCAGGAGTGGGAATGAGATGGGCTTTAAGGTCCCCTCCAACTCAGACCATTCTGGGATTCGATGAATCGATGAAACTCCAAAATTATCTGGGCTCACATGAACCTCATGGAGTTCAACCAGGCCAAGTGCAAGGTCCTGCACCTGGGTCAGGGCAGCCCGAGCACCAGCACAGGCTGGGGCTGGCTGGGTGGGGAGCAGTCCTGGGAGAAGGACTTGGGAGTGCTGGTGGTGACAAATTGGATGTGACCTTGCCATGGGCACTGACAGCCCAGAAAGTCAACTGTAATTGGGCTGCGTCAGAAACAGCAGAGACAGCAGGTGGTCCTGATCTGACTCCTTTCAAAGGTATTAAATAGCAGCAAAATAAATACATTCATTTCAGAAGTGTTCACTTGGGGCAGGGGGACACCAGGTTAGGTGAACCTTTAGGTTAGTCTAGAAGAGCTGCTCCCAGTGCAGAAGTGTCTCCTGAGCTCGGAGGGCCCCTCCTGTGTGTCACCTGGTGCCCGAGGCCCCTGGGGCTGTCCCTGGCTCTGTCCCCTCTGCAGCCTCCCCCCGGGTGTTTATCCCCAGGGATGAGATGCCCTGAGCCTGCTCTGCTCCAGGCTGGGCAGTGCCAGCTCTCTCAGCCTCTCCTCATGGCAGAGGTGCTCCAGTCCCTCCATCATCTTCATGGCCCTGAGCTGGACTCTGTCCAGTCTGTCCCTGTCTCCTGTACTGGGCAGCCCAGCTCTGGGCTGGGTCTGTGACAGCTTTCAGCCCAGGACCTCCTGACCCCGGAGTTTTGCTTTTCTCAGTGTTGTGAGCTCCATCCTGGTGTCCCCACACTCCTCTTGCCGTGTTGAGATGTAGCTTAAAGGAACATCAGAGAGCAAAAGGGTACAGCAGTGGCTGCTGAGGGGGTCTGTCCTGCCCTACGGCCTCCAGGAAGGAATCAGAGCAGAGCTTCCCCGTGGGAAGGGCAGGAGGAGATGGAGGGAAGGGCAGGAGGAGATGGAGGGACTGCAGTGCCCAAAAGATGGGCTCCAGCTGGAAGCCAGCTCCCAGGACCAGTCCTGCTGGGGGAATCCCAGCCTGCAGCAGGTCCAGTGGCCCTGAGCAGGGAGCAGGACCTGCTGCTGGAGCAGTGGCCCCAGGGGCAGGGTGGCAGCAAACAGCCAGCACAGCCAACCACAAATCCAATTTGCTGTGCTAAAAGTGCAGATTGAATATCAGAGGGTGGGCAAAGGATGGAGAGTCCAGTCTGGAAAGTGTCCATACCTGGGAGGCTGGCTGGGGATTCCAGCATCCCCCTGGGAATCCAAGCATCCCCCCGGGAATTCCAGCTTCCCCTGGGAGTTTCAGCTTCCCCTGGATTTCCAGCATCACCCTGGGGTTCCCAGAATCCCTCTGGATTTCCAGCATTCCCCCTCAGGCTCTTGTTGGCCGATTGTCGTTCAAATCGCTGAAGTTTAACAGTATTATCATGTCAATGGGCCCGGGCAGGGCTCAGCACGGACGAGCTCTAGTGGGAAGGGCAGGGAGATGCATCTCAGCCCCTTCCCTGGCCCTCATCTCAGAGGCTCCTTACTCCCCATCAGCCGGGAGATCTCTGGGGTGCTAGGCTGGGCTTGCCCAGGGATTCAGGCTCCTTCCATGCTCCGTCAGGCACCCGATGGGATTTTTCCAAAGTTGCTGTCACACTACCAGTCCAGGGAGCAAAGGCAGGTAGAGGGAACTAGGGGGTGGCTCCTGGCCCAGCTCTGGGCGGGTGGTTGAGCGCAGGAACAATTTCCTGCTCGTCTCAATTCGGTAGAAGACTAAACCAGCATTTTCCAAAAGGTGGGAGCAAAAGCAGACTGCTCAGGAGGACAGTCCTGCTTGGGCACTGTGGCTGACACAGCCCGGGCAGTCCGGGGGTCTCTGGGGGTCTCTGGGGCGTCACACACGCGGCTGCGGGGGGAGCAGAGCGGGCAGGATGAGCCCACCCCTCCCGGTGGTGGTCCTGGTTCACAGCGGGCAGGAGCCAGCCTGAGAGGAGGCTGGGGATGCTCCCTGCCCGGAGGGACCCTGCAGAGGATGGGAGGTGCTGCCAGGGCTCCCCACACCCACCTGTGCTTCACCAGCCCTGCTGCCTTGGCATCAATGCAGCGATAGCAGCTTGGGGCACAGTTCAGATCATAGAAGATTTAGAAGCAACAAAATAAATGATTTAAGGAGTTCTCCTTTTCCTTTTGCTATTTAATCCCTTATTGCACCACACATGCTGCTTTTCCCAGACCAAAAATCGACCATAAAAGGAGGGGGTTTATAACTTTTTTCAATACATGAAGGGATTCCCATATTTTACCCTGCAAGCAGCCAAGAGGGGAGGGAGGGGAGCTGCAGCACAGAGGTGGTGGAGCCTGGGAGGGGGGAGCTGCCCCTGAGGCAGAGCGACATCAAGCCAGGTCTTTCTGCGGAGAGGTGGAGCACGATCCGGTGAGGTTTGGGGTGCTGTGCCCTCACAGCACACAGGTCCCAGGGGATGCCCACGCGTGTACTTGGCCTGCCAGGGATGAATGTGGATGTGCCCAGGATGGGGGATGGAAACCTGAAAAGGACTTCCCCAAGAGATGCCCCCCAGGACAGGGGTGTCTCAGTGGGCAGGGCTCTGGGCTGGCTGCAGGACAGGGTTCCCGCGGTGGCACTTTATCCATCACAGGTGCTGGGATGTGGCACCACTGCTCAGAGCAGCTCCTCTCTCTTCTTCCCACTGATGAAGGCACCGCTCGAGGGGACCCCTTATGGACACATCTCCTTGGGCTCCACTGAGCACGTGGCAGAGAGTGACAGTGCAATCCAGCCCCACACCACACAAGGACACAGAGCTGTGCTAGGGAAATCTCACGCTCACCAAATCCTGGACCAGCAGCACATAAACGGAGCAATTTTCATTTCCAAAACTCCAAAGGTGACCTTGGGCTCTGCTGTGGTCATGGAGAGGCACAGGGAGAGCAGAAGGGCATCCAGAGACCTTGGCCAGTCTGATGGCCATGGCACAGTAAGGCCTCCACCTGGTTCCTTCTCGGTCACCACCTTTGCTTGGAACTGCCTTCCTCTGTCATGGGAGCAGTGATGTGCTGGGCTTCTGATTTCCCATCTGCTAAGGACGAAACGAAGCACTGGTGGAACTTCAAGGTGCTCTGAGGTGCCCAGGGTTGTCACCCACACCTGCCCCTGCAGCTCCTGTCCCAAGGCCTGCCCCGTCCCCTGCCCACAGACACCGGTAACCCCTGGGGCCCAGTTATAGGATTCAGCCAGGGGGAAGGAACCTGCGCAGCGCATTGTGAGGCACCCCTGCGTGGATGTCCCTGGGTGAGAGTTCCAAAGTGGGTGTCCCCGGGTGAATGTCCCCAGGGCTGGCTGTCCCCACGTGGGTGCCCATGGCTGGGTCCCTGTGCGGGTGCAGCTCCGCGGGGCCGGGCGGGGGCTCCAGGGCTCCCTCTGTCCCTGCCCCCTCCCGCCGGGGGCCGTGTCCGGCCGCGGGGCCGAGCCCGGGGGTGCGCCGGCGCCAGGTACCGGCCGGGACTCCGCGGGGCGGGGGGGGCTCGGCGGGGCGGGGGGGCCCCGGTGCCCGGTGACAGTCGGGGGCGGGCGGGCCGGGGCCGGGGCCGGGGGCGGGGGGCCCGGCGAGTTCCTGCCTCCTCGGGAACAAAGGGAACTCTGTCTCGGCATCTGTCACCGCCGCCCACCCAAAACTTTCCGCCGCGCCCGGCTGCCCGTCCGCCGCCGCGGGACGGCCCCGCACCGGCCCCGGCACCGAGACCCCGGCGCGGCCCATGCGAGCGCCCAGGCGGCGGCGGCGGCCCGGGGGTGAGCGCAAAGATGGATCCCGGGGGGCGCGGGGGGAGCGGGGCGGCCCCGCGCCTTTGTGCGGGACGGAGCGGGACGGGCCGCGCCGGCGCTCCCGAAGTTTGCGGGAGCTGCGGCCGGGGCCCCCCGCCCCCGCTGCAGCTCCGAGTTACGGCGGAGTTTGCCCGGCCGGGGACAGCTCGGGGCCGGCGGCGGAGTGCGGGGGCCGCTCTCCGGCTCCTCTCTCGCCCCGCCGCCCGGGGCCGCCGCTGCCCCGCTTTGTGGCGGCGGCCCCGGCCCCTCGCTGCCTGTTGCGGCCGGAGGGGCGGCGGGACCCGGCCCGCAGCCCCCCGCTCCGCCGAGCCCCCGGCCCGCAGCGCCGAGCCGAGCCCCGGCCCGTGACAGCCGCCCCCGCCTCCATCCCCGCCGCACAATGACCCCGCGTGGTTCCTCTCCCACTCTCCAGCTCCGGCCTCTTTCTCTTGCTGAGATTGTTTTTGTTTTTAACTTCCCCTCCTCCACCCCACCCCATGCTTTGTTTTTTTCTCCCCCCCACGTTGCGGTGCCCTCCGAACCCCGAGTGCACTCGAGCCCCGTGCGTGCGCTGAGATCCTCCGCACCCCCGGGGCTCTGTTTGGTGCCCCTGTTGTCCCGCCGGTGCCGGTCGTTTGGCCCACCCCCCCCCACCCCCGGGATCTCTGCCTCGGGATTCCCCCCCGGCGGGCCCAGAGGGGGTGAGACCCCCGTTGGATGCGGGGGGAGGTCGGTGGGAGGCCCCTTCCCCTCCCCCGACCGGACACCGCCTGAAGCTCCCTTTGGTTTCCCCTCCAGGCTTCAGCCAGGGGGGTCCCGCGGGCAGCTCCACCATGTCGGACAGTGACCCGGGGGACGAGGACGGCGCCACATCCCCTGACCCCTCGCAATGCAAGAGGAAGAGAAGGGGCAACCTCCCCAAGGAGTCGGTGAAGATCCTGCGGGACTGGCTGTACGAGCACCGCTTCAACGCCTACCCCTCGGAGCAGGAGAAGCTCAGCCTCTCGGGGCAGACCAGCCTCTCCGTGCTGCAGGTAGGAGCCAGCCCCCGCCCGCTGGGGACACCGCTGGGGACACTGCCATGCGGTGTGGGACAGGAGAACCCCACCGAGGATCCCAAAGTCTGGGCAGGCTAGGTTCATTCACCACTGAAGGACGGTGAGGAGGCAAGGGAAGGGATTCTGGGGAAGGAAAGGCACCTGTGTGAAGGCAGGGTCTTTTCTGGGGAGACGTCTGACCCCGGGACCAGCTCTGCTGGAGCCGGAAGGTGGAGGGACTGAAGTGGGGACAGGTTGAATACCCTGTCGTCAGTAAAAGCTGCACAGGTGGGAGGGTTTTGTGGGATGCTGCTTTATTCTATTCCCCTGGACACTCCCAGCAGCATGACCCTGCACACAGAGCTGGGCAGAGGACAGCCCTGGGGCTGGGCAGGGCCAGGAGTTGGACTTGAAGATCTTTGTGGATCCCTTCCAGCTCAGGATATTCTGTGATTTTAACCAGAAGGGAGAGGCTGGACTGCACTTGAATCCTCTGGGCTGTTAAGTGCTGGCTGGCCCACCTGGTCCGAGTTACACCAGCTGCATTAAGGGGAGCCCTGTCCAGGAGTCTCCCTGTCCTGGTCCCAGCTGTGGGCTGATGTTCTCCATGTGGCACCGTGGTGGGTGCTCAGGCAGGAGCCCTGGGCAGCAGTGGGGGTGAGCAGCGCTTGTCCTTCCTACTCTGGCGTGGTCCCTGCCTGTGTTTAGGGTGTCTGGGGAGCCTGCCCAGCTGCTGACCCGGTGCTCCATGCTCAGGCTTGGTGCCCTGGGCCCTGTCCCCCTCTCCCAGCCTGACAGGGTGTGAGCTGCACTCTGTTCTCTGGGTCTGGGGTGCAGTGGGGTGCAGGGCAGCAGACAAGGGCCAGTAGGTTTGCTCCTGGCCTGGAGCTTCCTCTGTACCTCTGGCTCCTCTCCCCATGGCTCAGCACAGTCCTGGCCAAGTGTCCCAGCCCAGACACCGAGTGTGGGCAGGGACTGTCTGCTTCCCCTCTTCCTGGCCAGCAAGGCAAACCTGTTTTTTAATGTTAACGTGCTTCTGTGAGTGCTGGCTGTGCCCCAGAACCGTGCCCAGCAGCTGCTCCGGGGCAGCCTGGAGCCCCTGGCTGGGCTGGAGGCTGAGGGTCGGGGGAGCAGCGGCAGGCCCGGGGCTGCGGGACCGGCCGGGTCCTGGCCCAGGCTCCGTGACAGTGCCCGGCACACGGAGCTGCCCAGGGCTCGGGCGGGCTGCCAGGTGCCAGCCTGTCAGTGGCCTGAGCCCCGTGGGACCAGGGAGGGTTTGGCACACGGGTGGGCTCGTGTTGAGGTGTGGCCCTGCTGTGTGCCAGCTGCTGTTTGTCCCAGGTGGCCCCACAGCCAGCGAGTGCCCCCTGTACCCACTGCGCATGGGGTCCCAGCCCGATGGCATTGCCCAGTGCCAGCCGAGGGCCGGGACAGAGGTTTCTGGCAGCCTGAGGGGATGCAGCAGGAATCCCTGGGGATGCTCCCTCTGCCTGCTGGGGTGGAGGAGTGGGACACCCCATGGTGTGGCTGTGGAGTTCAGTCTGTGATGCTGATCTGACCTCTCCAAAAAGCCTCTGGAATGCAGGGCTCTGCCACAGCCACTGGCCAACCTCCCCAGTTGTTCCTTTGTGCACTCCCTGCCTGCTCCAGTGGCCTGGGGAGCTGGAGCTGTGCACTGCAGCCATGGATCAGGGAGAGCAGGAAGCCCTGTGCCTCCCTTGCAGGAATTCCAGCCCTAGGAAAGTGGCACCTGCTCCCACTGAGGCTCCCTAGACAGCAGCAACTTTCCAAGCCTGTGCCCTGCTGTGGGATGGATGGGCTTTTCCTCCCTGTGGAGGAGATGCTCCTCTTACAGTGCTGGGGACAGACACTGCCAAAGGGAAAGAATGGGGTGTGCTGGTGGGAGGGAAAGGGATGGACTAAAACCCAATAAACTGCTTCAGAGCCAGAGCTCTGTGACAGTGCCTGCTGTGAGAGTGGCTGTGTGTCCCCATCTCTGTGCCCCGTTCTCCAATGGGAACTGAATGCGGGAAGGAGCATGGTGATGGGGACAGGCAGGATTTTGGGGGGTTCTCAGCACTGAGGAGTTGGGCTTTTTGTTGGGAGTCCATCTCTCTGGTTGGGGATCACAGTGGTGGATGGCCAGGATCGTGTCAAGGGGACCACAGTATCACAGGATCTTGTTATGCTATGGCTGGCAAGGGAGGGGTTTGGAACAGAAAAGGAGTAAAACTGGTCTATTTGAGGGTTAATGCCAAATATTGTCGTAAAGAAAAAAGCAACAACTGAGATCCTGCTGTGACTGAAGTTGTGGCAAGTTTTCTCTCCTTGGGGAAAATATTTTCCATAGCTGCTGATTTAGGAAAGATCAGACTTCCCCCCCCCCCCCCCCCCCCCCCCAATTTATTCTCTTTTAATTGTTTTCTAGGAAGAAGGCAGTTATTTAAATGCAGCATTTTATATAAAGATGCTAAAACAATCCATGGTCAAGGCTCAATAGTGGCAAAGGACTGCCAGATGTGCAGCCTCTGTGCTGTACAGTTGTTTGGGAGAGCTTTTAGCATGAGCTGTGACCCTGCTCGTGGGCAGAGGTGTGTCTGCTGCCCCATTCCTGGCTCTGTTAGGGGCTGAAGGGCTGCAGCTCCACTGCCTGATGGTTTCTAAGGTTTTCCATCTGTATTGCTATCCTGCCATCCGTCTGCTCTGGCAGCTCCTATTTGGCTTGGCAGCAGCGTGGAAACAGGGCTGAGCTCCAGGATGGGTCACCTGGAGAAGGAAAATCTGTCCCCAGGCCGGGGACCTGCAGTGTGGGCTCCGAGCTGGCTCTGTGCAATGCCGTGGGCTCTGGCTGGGGAATGGCAGGAGCTGTGCTGTACCTGCCTGCAGCTGGAACCTGTGGGGCTGCAGTGGGGGCACAGCACTGAGCCCCTCGTGCCCTGGGGGCAGCTCTGCTGAGAACCCGGCAGCTGCCGGGGCTCCGGGCCGGGCTGCTGCGGCTCGGCCCCGGGGCTGTCAGGCTGCGCCCGTTCCTGCCCGCGGAGAGCAGGAGCCGCGGGGCGCGGTCCCGCAGCGGGGCGGGCAGGGCCGGGGCACGGGGAGGAAGGGGCTGCCCGGGCAGGCGGTGCCAGGCAGGAAGCAGCCGGTGTCGGGGTTTCCGTGGGTGCCGGCGCTAGCTGTGCCTCTCGGGAGCCGCACGGGAAGGAGGTGCAGGGCTGAGGGGGGGACCTGCGGTAGTCCGGGTGCGTGGGAGCTGCTGCTGGTTGGAGCCGGGGCTGCGGCCCCCGGCTGACCCCGCCGCGCCCCTCTGTCCTCGCAGATCTGTAACTGGTTCATCAACGCCCGGCGGCGCCTGCTCCCCGACATGCTGCGCAAGGACGGCAAGGACCCCAACCAGTTCACCATCTCCCGCCGCGGGGGCAAAGCCGCCGATGCGGCCGTGCCGCGGGGCGCTGCCGCCGGCCCCGGGGTGCTCGTGGTGCCGCCCGCGGGCGCCTCCAAGGTGCTGTCGATGTCGGTGTGCCCGCAGGTACTGTGCCACCCGGGGCGGGCGCTGGCCGTGGTGAGCGCCCACAGCCCCGAGTGGGAGCAGCCGCCCGGGCCCGAGGCCGTGCCCAGGGCGGGCCCCGGCGGCAGCACCCTGACCCTGCTGGCGCGGGCCGAGGCGGGCAGCCCCACACCCGGACTCTTCAACACGCCGCCCCCGACGCCCCCCGAGCTCTTCGGGGACGACTTCAGCAGCTTCCAGCTGCTGGTGGAGGTGGCCCTGCAGAAGGCGGCCGAGCTGGAGCGGCAGCGGCAGGGCGGGCAGCTGCCCGTGGCTCCCCACGCCGAGCCCCCCGGAGCCTCCAAATAGCCCCGGGCCGGGTCCCGCAGGGTGCCCTTCCCCGGGGGGCCCGACCCTCCCGGCCTCTGCCGCACCCCCACAGCCCATCCCAGGAGCGGCTCCTGCCCCCGGGGGCTCTGGCGTCTCTCGGCAGCCAAGGCGGCAGAGGAAGGCCGGTCCCACCCCGCCGTCCTCCCGTGGGAGATGCCCTGGCTGCCGAGCACGGTGCCCCGTTCTGTGCCCAGACCCCGGCGCTGGCAGTGCCCTGTCCCTGCCGCACGGCTGGAGCGGGCACTGGAGCTCTCCTGGAAAACCTGCTGATCATCTCCTCTCCTGCAAACATGGATCCAGTCAGCATCGTTTCTTCAGGGAGACAGAGAGAACCTGGTTTTTTTTAATGCCAGTGGAAGGACTGTGGATGAAGAGCTTTGTCTCCCAAATCTCCTTTCTCCTTGCCAACCTTTCCCCCCCCCCCCCCCCCCCCCCTTTTGTTTTTGGGGTGATTTTCTGTTTCCCGGTACTGGCCAGGGGGCCTGCCTTGCCCACGGAAGGGCAAAGGACAGATGAACTGGAAACATGGAGTCTGTGGCATTTTATCGTGGAAAAATTAGGACCCTCCTCTTCCTTTTTAGGTTGTTGTGGATGCTGCCAATAGAAATCTCTTATGGTGCTGTTTAGCAAGTTTTTTGTTGAAACATTTTCCCTTTAATTGTGATTTATTACATGATTTTTTTTTTTTTTTTTTTTTTTTTTTTTTTTTTNTAAGCATTTCCACACCTTCCCCGTGCTCCCCTTGAGTTCATGCTGAATATGTGCACGCTGTGCCCGGAGTATTGAGCACGTGGCCAAGCCCGGGCAGAGCTGAGACTGTGAATTTTGTACCCGACTTCATTTCCTTTTTTATTTTTATTTTTTTCCATAAAACCTTTGGAGAGAGGCGTGGTGGGGGCACGGCCGTGTGCGTCCTGCACGTGCAGCGCGGGGCGGGCGCAGGACGGGGATGCGGGTCCGTGTCCCGGCCCCGCAGCGCGGCTGTGCGGCGCTGGGGACCTCTAGTGACAAACGGGGACGGCCCGGCGGGCTCGGGGCTCTGGGGCAGCTCCGGGCTGACCCTGGGCGATGTGGCTTTAGTGACTGAGCCCGGCCCGAGGAACGCTAATCCCCCCGGTTATCAGCCAGATAAGGCGCTGACTGAGGGGGTAAAGCCGCAGGACCGGGAGCTCTGCGGGGCGTGGGGAGACCACCGGAGGGGACGGGGCTGGAAGGGAAAAGCACTGATTTCGGGGACTGGTGTGTTCCCACCCCCCGTTTCTTCAGAGGGAAGGTGCTGGGGACAGGCTGCTGTGGGAAGGGTTCTCAATAGCGTCACCTGGGCAGGTGTCCTGTGCAGTGCCGGGGGGCACTGGGGTGGGTGGGTGCCCATCGTGTGCCTCTCACACCCACCTCCATTTCTATGTCCAGCCTTCGCTTGCCCTTTGTCTCCTTTTCAGGGAAAGTCCTCAGTTTTGGGACTCTCACCTTGTCACCCCCCTGCAGCTCTGTGCCTGACCCAGGGGGAGGGAGCGCCTCCTGCTCTCTTGCCCCAGTCAAACCCAAGTGGTTTCCTTCCCCTGAGCTGTGCCTGTGCCAGGGGCTGGAGCTGCTGCCCTGAGATGGACCAGAGAGTTGGGAGGGCAGAAGTTATTGGAATTAAATTTATGGAGAAATAACAAACTACTGTAAATATCTTTTTGTTTGTTTTTCTATTGTCAAATAAAAGGTTTTTTTAGTTTTGGTTGTTATTTTTAAATATGAGCTGTGTGTCAGAGTGAGCTGTGTCATTTGTGGGTACCCCACTTGGTTCTCCATCCCCAGAAGAAACCCCTGGGCCACCCTTGAACAGCACCTGGGTGTCCCCCACTCTCCATGAGCTGCAGGGGCTTTGTGTTCAGGGTGAGAGATGTGGGATGGGGCACATTCCCATGGGGAGTGGGGGGCCAGAGCCAGGCCAGGATTTGTCAGCCCAGCTCAGGGATCTGCACTGTGACAGGGGGTCACAGCTGGGGACTCTGCTGCTCCTCCTGTGGCCCCAGGCAGCACCTCACAGCTCCTGAGCTGCACACGGGGGTCCATGTCTCCAGCAGGGCCTGGGGATCCCCTGGCAGCTCCAGCAGAGACCAGCAGCTCCCGGGAGCTCAGGACATGGTGCCAAGGGACAGCATGGGGCACAGGGGGGAGGCACTGCTCTGACCTCCCCCCACACCCACCTCCATTGCCTGCCGGGGCATCAGCTGGGGCTATTGGTGCTGGGAGGGGTCCTCCAGAGGGACCCCCAGCCCTGCAGCCCCCCAGGCCCTGGGCTCTGACCCAGGCACACAGAACAGCCTCATTAATGTGATACTCTCGTACTTTGCAGAGTGGTTTGGGTTGGAAACACCGTAACGACCATTAAGGCACAGCCCCTTGCCATGGGAAAGGACATCTTCCACTGTCTCAGGCTGCTCCAAGCCATGTCCAGCCTGGCCTTGGACACTTCCAGGGGTGGGGCAGCCACAGCTTCTCTGGGTAACCTGTACCAGGGCCTCACCACCCTCACAGGGAGGAATTTCTTCTCAATATCTCAGGTATCCTTCATCTCTGATAATGTGAAGCCGTTTCCATCCCTTGTCCCAAGTCCCTCTGCAGCTCTCCTGGAGCCCCTTTAGGCACTGGAAGGGGCTCTGAGTTCTCCCTGGAGCCTTCTCTTCTCCAGGATGAGCACTCTCAGCTCTCCCAGCCTTTCCTACTGGTCCAACTCCTCCGTCACTGCCAGTGCTGCCCATGAGTGGGTGAGGCTCCGGGATGCTCCCCGCAGCCGCTCCACCGTGGCCGGGCCGGGTGGTGCCGGTGCAGCACGGGCAGCCGGCAGCAGCGGCTGGGCCGGGCCGAGCCAGCGGGGCGTTCCTGGGGATTCCGGGAATGGGCCCTGCATGGCCGGGCCGGGCCCGGGGAAGGCGCGGGAAGAGCTGGGAGCGGCTCCTGGCGCCGGAGAGTGCGGGACTGCAGCCGGGACACGGACATGGACAGGGACAGGGACAGGACACGGACACGGACACGGACACGAACAGGGACAGGACACGGGCATGGCAGAGACATGGACAGGGACATGGACAGGACAGGGACAGGACAGGGACAGGACAGGACAGGGACAGGGCAGAGACATGGAAAAGGACATGAACAGGGACAGGACACGGACATGGCAGAGACATGGACAAGGACATGGACAGGACAGGAACAGGACAGGGACACAGCAGAGACATGGACAGGGACAGGGACAGGGACACGGACAGGACAGGGACAGGGACAGGGACAGGGACACGGACAGGGACACAGACAGGACAGGGACATGGACAGGACAGGGACAGGACAGGACAGGACAGGGACAGGGACAGGACAGGACAGGGACAGGGACACGGACAGGGACAGGGCAGAGACACGGACACGGACATGGACACAGACACGGACAAGGACAGGGACAGGGACAGGGACACGGACAGGACAGGAACACAGACAGGACAGGGACACGGACAGGACAGGGACAGGGACAGGGACAGGACAGGACAGGGACACGGACAGGGACAGGGCAGAGACAGGGACAGGGACACGGACAGGGACAGGACAGGACAGGGACAGGGACACGGACAGGGACAGGGCAGAGACACGGACACGGACACGGACACGGACACGGACAGGACAGGGACAGGGACAGGACAGGAACACAGACAGGACAGGGACAGGGACAGGACAGGAACACAGACAGGACAGGGACAGGACAGGACAGGGACAGGGACAGGGACACACAGACAGGGACAGGGACACGGACAGGACAGGGACAGGACAGGGACAGGACAGGGACAGGGACAGGGACAGGGACAGGGACAGCGCGGTGCGCTCGAACCCCGCCCGAGCAAGGCACGGAGGAAGGGGAGGCCACGCCCACCACCCCACAAGCCCCGCCCCCTGGCAACAGCCTCACGGCCATTGGCCTCAGCAGCACGTACTGGGCTGTGATTGGTTGGCAGGGCCCGGAAGCATTGTGACACACGGCCTCGCCCTTTGTAGCCACTGGGGGCGGCCATTTTGTTTCACCCGCCATCTTATGGCAGGGCGCAGCCATTTTGCTAAACGTCATGCTGCGCTGTGATTGGCAGGCAGCCATCTCGTGACACCACTATTCCCACGTGATCTCATGCAGCCTCGTGATTGGCTGCCCGCATTCTTTGGGCTCAGAATAAACAGGTGGCTCGAAGGAGTGAGTGTGAAATTATTGACGAAAGGGGTGCTAAATATCTGCAACAAATACTTCTAAAATATTTATATTTCTAAAATATTTATATTTATAAAAGGCATGTCTAAATAGGTATAACACATTTTTGTGCATGTGTTACACATATTTGCATGTATATGCATATAGATGTAACTACCTCTGTATTTGTATATGTATCTTAATATATGTAGAGGATTTTAAAATATTGTATTAATCATAAAAAACTGTATGAAAACCATGTTAACATTAATTTTTACAGCTTCATAAATTTACTTACATGTTAAAATATATGCACATATATATATACAAATCCATATTATATAAGAACATCAATATTATGAGCTAGCCCAGCCCATTGCAGCAAGGATAGTTTGACCCCTCTGTGAGCAGCAGCTGGGAAGAGTAAATTATAAAGTAAATAAATTAACTCTTGGTGCTCCCACTTTCCTTGTTGTTCCCCTTTACTCTGTCAGTGATCCCTAAAGCTGCATCCACCCTGAAATCTGACAGTGCAGCCCAACAAAGTCTCTGCCCCCACGGAATCTTTAGGTTTGGGAAAGGCCTCCCAGATGTGTCCCAGCTGCTGCCAAACCCCGACATGCCCACGCACCCCCAGGTGCCATCTGCACAGAAATTTCCAACACCTCCAGGGCTGGGGACTCTCCCCCTGCCCTGGGCAGCTCTGACCACATTTTCCATGAAGAACTTTCCCTCAATATCCAATGTAAACCTCCCCTGGAGCAACCTGAGGCTGCTCCCCCTTGTCCCCTGGGAGCAGAGCCTGACCCCCACCTCCAGCCCAAGCTTTGGGAATTCAATGGCTGGGGACAGAGACCTTAGAGAAGTGTTCATGGACAGCCCCAGCCAGGACACAACAGGCAGCAGGCATCGTTCAGGATTTCACTTTTATTTATTTTTTGCCTTCTGGATCACCAACATTCTCACTGAAACCACTGGGATTCCACTTCCACCCCCGTGACAGTAGCGCACAATCTCCCAACTTGTTCAAATGTGTGAAGAGGGAAAAAAAAAAAAATAAATCCCCAGCGAGATCCCTCAGAATGGGACAAAAACCTTCTGTGTGAGAGGACGGCAAAGAATCAGGGGGTGGCAGCTCTGGCTCCAAGGAGCCAGACCAGAAAGGAGACCTACAAAGGGGAAGAAAAAATGGGCTAAAAAATATTTAGCAGTCCTTCCTCTACCCAGAGAGCAGGAAGATAAGGAAAAAATAGTCATCTGCTTACACACAGGGTATATATTTTTACACACACTTGGACACACATCTAGATATAGTACATGTAAAAATATATGCTATACATCTGCCCACCCCCACGGCGGCGTGGGCAGGATCCGTGTGTAGGAATTACTATACAGGTACTACTAAGTGTATATGTGCATATGTACACCCTCCTGTCTCCTCCTGGATACGGTGACCCCACAGCCCCCGCTGCAGCAGCTCCTCTCTCCACCAGCCAGCCAAGGACAACGGTGTGGGAACGGGAAGAGGAGGGAAATCAAAGTGATGTGGCTCATGCTCTGTGCTCCTCCAGCTCTGCTCCTGTGCCCGGAGCGGGGTCCAGCTCTCGGGATCCCCCGCGCCAGGTTTATTGCACATTTTGTTTCTGGGCTGCACTTCAACCCCACATTGCACAGCCCTGGTGTCCTCTCCCTCCAACAAGCCAAGGATAGGGCCCCTTTTCCCGTCCTCCCCCGCTCCAGCATCCCCACCCCAAGAACACAAAGCCCAGCAGGCTGCTGGCTGGAGAGGGCAGCAGGAGTGACACACCACAGGTATTCTCTGTGGGGATAGGGGGGTCCGGACACGGGAACCAAAACCATGCAAAGGGTGGGAGAACGGCAGCAGGAGGAGGGAAAAATAAAGGATGAGAAAGGCAGAACAGATCTGAGGAGGAGGAAGAACACAGCATGGCAAGTGCTCAAGGCTTTGTGTTTTCTTGTCCTCTTCTTGTAAACAAGCTAATAATTCTCATGAGATAGAACAAGTAAAAAGACTGAAGATCCAAGTCGAGGGGCTGGAGTTCCCAAGAGTCTGTCCAGTCCATTCAGCAACACCACAGCTGGGGAGAAAACGAGGGG